ATTCTTCCCTCAGTTCTATGACCATTGTTTGCCCCTAAACAGTTCCTTTAAGCAATTAAGTCCAAGGAAGACATGGACATTTCACAATGGTTTTCAGAGCCATTTCTACATGTATCCTACAAGCTCTAACTAGATTATTAACATATAAAGGTTCTATAAAGTGTGTCTGAGCCATTGTCAAGACTTTTAACTTTGGCTCTAAGGACTGTACACCTGAAAGCACTCAATTTTTTTTTTTTTTTTAATTTTAAACCTGTATAAAAATACAGTTCTTCCAAACAAATGTTACCTTCAGCTCCCAAAGACAAATCATCTTCAAAACTGCCTCCATTTCTCACAAGCACACCTGAAAGAAACATTAGAAGACTCATCCTGGTGTTCTGTTCTTCTGGACCCCCATATAAAATCATAGTTTTAGCTAAAGCAAATTGACCAAGCAAAAAATAAGATACAATAAAGTATTTCAAACCTGAATGTACTCATTATTCTGATTATATTATTTCAAAAAGCAAGTATAAGCTTTACTTTATCACAAACAAACCATGATTTGCAGCCAGGTAAAGTTGTTAAAAGCCCTGATACAAGCTATTTTATACTTACTATGTCTTTGAAGATACTCATTTAGCTAACATCTTATCCAAGAGTTTCATGGAAAATCAGATCCCGGAGCAATCATTCCTTTTTACCTCCCTTAACAGTCAGGAGCTCAAGCTAGACTTTTCTAATACTATAAGTGTTTTTTATATGCCTTGTCACTACCTGCACATTCTTGTTGTACTTTGAACTTTACAATTCTGTCTTGCACAGCTGGTAAAATTTCAGGTATGGCAATTTCAGTTAATGTAAGCAAAGAAATGCTGCACTAAAGCTGACCCAGTTCACTCAATATTTTCCTTATGTTTACATATCATATTTCTACATTTAATTAATCTTCATAATATCTAACTAGACAAAAAAAAGAGTTTCACACTGTGGAAAGGTTTAGTAATTTGCTTGAACTATTCACTGTTTTATGGTTTATGACAAGGTTTCTTTCTTTTGGCTTTTCTCTCAGAATGGCATATTTTATAAAATGAACATTACTTTTATAATTTACATATGTATACATTCCCTCTTAAGTAGGGCTCTCATAAAGAACAAGTTTAGAAAGGCAACTTTCTCTTACCCTTGAGCGTATTACTGCTTTGCTCATCCAGCGAGGCTCCCAAAGGGGTACTGAAACCACATAAATATATAAACCTTAGTCTTAAAAAGCTATCTGGAGAGTTGTTACTGCACAACTTTACATTTAAAGGATCATAGCCAAGCAAGCTTCTAATCACAGTTTAACTATCCTCCCCAAACACAAAAGGAATGCAAGAGTATTACATAAGTAATATCCTACTAACTAAGCAAACACCTATCCTCAAGTCAGTTCACCAGGAATGATTTAATCACACATCTGATCTGCCAGCAATTAAGAGCAAGAATTGTAATTACAAATGATATTAATTAGCATTTTCTTTACAAAAACAGAAAAAGAGAATGTCAGAAGGCATTAAGAAAATGTCTGCTCCCCTCAATCCCTTCCCTAGAAACAGGAAACAGAATTAAAAGAAAACAAATCTTTAATAAAATTTAAAAGTCAGAGTCTAGTTAGAAATAAGGCTCAACAGTTTTTTTAAACCTCATCTGTCAGACCTATCACCAGCACTTTAGAGCATCTCTCAGTGCCTCCCTTACCCCAACTATCTTTTTTGGTCTAAATGAAGAAGCTTAAGATTTTTTTTCTGTTTTTAAACTATGAAATACATATATCTTCATTTAACTCTAAAAACTAAGAAGTTGGCTTGAGAATCAACCTTAAGAACCAGCCATTGCTAAAATTCTTTCACATTCTTCCCATTCAAACACAGATAACTTAGAAATTTTTTAACGTGAAAATGAAAATGTTTTTCATTTCTTTCTCAAAACTAAATTATATTAAGAAACACTTTTCTTTTGAAAGTTCTGTTTTGTGATTTGAATTTTTCATCAGTAACAGTTTATACCTGTTACAAATTCACATCAAATATGGGATCATAAAAATATCAGTCTCAAAAAATATTATTGAAATGACAATTTAATGTTAAAACTTTCTGCAAGCAAATATAAAAGCAGTGGCAGTTCTTTGAAAATTAGTGCTTTTGAAAAATGTAAAAGAATCACAACTACCATAAAGACAATAAAAACTTTGAGCTAAGTTTTTGCATATATTTTAACAAAACTGGAATTTACGCCTTTATAAAGTCCTTCTTCTTCCCTGGGCTACTTTCTTAGGACAAAACACTGTTTTACTCCTGCAGATGTCTCTGTGCGTGGGTGCCCTAACAGAAAATGGCAAATAAAGAGAATATAACTGCCACTCTGCTTCAGAAACAAGTTTCTCACTCTTACAACAGCTCTCTTCCAAATTCTCTCAAAAACTATCCTTTCTTAGATGTTAATTCAAGCAATTTATTTCCACTTAGTTAAAAAAGTGATTATCAAAATAAAGGACACCCCCTCCCCCTTAAAGGAATAACAAATGGTATCTTTATTCAGGATATGGACATCAATAAGAAAAAAAAATGAGAATGTATCAAGGGGAAAAAGCTAGCTTTAGATCACTTATAATGTACAAAGTAGGTAGATGCCTAACTCTGAGAAGGATCCTAAACTGTTACAGAAAAAAAAAAAAAAAACAAAAAACCTACAGTTGCATATATCCTAGCGGTGAAATCTGTGATAATACAGCTAACATTACAAGACTATTTGTTTTAGCTTTCCCAGGTACAAATGAATGCCCCTTTTGTACAAAATAGGTGCAACTGTAAGGAACAAGAAGGAAATCTATGCAGGAAACCTATGAGGGAAGGAGCAGCAGACTATAGAATCTGCCTACGTAAGATTAGCAACAAAACTTTCGGAATTTTCAGAGATGATATGTCTGATGAGTAACATTTGCCTACTGCATTTATCTTACAAGATAAACGTACTGTCTACTTGATATGATCGCATATAATCTTAATTCCTATACATCATTAAGTAAACACAATGTGATTTTTCTCTTGCTGTTAAACATTATTTTTGATGCACCTTTAGAGAGAAGGTCCATATACTTCTTCATTATCTCAAAGGGTCTATGACACCCCCAATAAAGGTTAAGGAGTTCTGCAGTGAAGAGTGCTTAGTAATTCATCAAAGTTACTAAAAAATCCAGGTAATTCATCAAAACGGGAAATCAATGGAGTAGTAGCCAATACTTTATCTGTGTTTAGGTTAGAAAAATAAGCTGACATATATGAAAATCACTTCTCCTTCCTCCAAAAAACACGTCCTTACCTCTGGTACTTGAACAAAAGGTTAAGAAAAGCCCAAAATGAGATGGCAAGTGTGTGCAGAAGCAAACACCATAGCCACATTAAAAAGTAACATTCTTCATATGAGATTTTACAAGTAGAAAATAAATTGGGAAAAAATTAAAATATGAAACAAGCCCTTTTTTACTGTAGTAAGATTTACTTGCAATATGATTCATCTCCTCTTGTACTTTATCAAAGATTTGTACCAGTTGCCAAAGCAAGCAATTAGATTTATGCCGTCTGAATGCCTTCAAAGCTCTATTTCCCTTCGTGCATTCCAGTACCATCTGACAAATGCATGTCCAAGGAGTAAACTACAAGAACAAAGTTAGTTTTATAGCTGTCCAAATAGAATTAAGGCACAAAAATAAAATTAAAGCCCAGTTCGTGCTGTTAAGTAAACTAAATTCATCTAAAACACATTTGAAAGGGAAATCATTCCATGCCAGATATACAGACGTCAAAACAAAAGCAAAATAAAATACTGTGTGAAATGTGAAAATCCTTTCGAATAAAAACAAGGCAAGAATAACAACACTGCATGATTATTTGTTTTAGGTCTCTGATCTCTGATGCTAACATCATGCACGGGGGCTGAAGTCCTAACAACTGTTAAGTCAACACGGTCACCAAATAATCAGCGGTCACAGCACTTCCATTTCTAATCTTTTAGAGGAGGAAACTATCCGCCGGCTCACTTTCCGGCTTATAGCTCACAACGGCCACGGGACCCACTGGGACTGCGGCCCTAGTGACTCCGCTCCGGAGTGCCATCTCCGCGGACCTCCCTCTGGGATGCGAGCGGCGAAAGCGAGGACTCACCGGCAATCCTTGAGCCATATCGCGATCTTCTCGTTGGGCACGTTTCCTGCGGGGCAGAGTGAGGGGACAGCTCGTTACCGACCCCGGGCGGACTCCGACCGCTCGGTCAACCTGGACACTCCCATGTAGGAAAATCTACTGGGGTTAAAATGCAGCCTAAGCAACAAGTCTTAAGTGTCCATCTGAAAGGAAACGAGATGGCACCGGGGTGTCTGTGTTGACTCTGGAGACGCCTCGCCAAGCGCGCGCATTTAAAGGTCCAAGGTGTCCCCTCTCCCCCGGCTTAGCAAGTCCTGGAGGATCTTCCAGAACTCACAGCAGTCGCCCAGGGCGCACGAGACTTCCCCCGCAGCCAGCCTGCACTTCCCCGCGTCCCCCCCGCCCGCCACGACTCGGCCGGGCGCACAGACCTCTCCCCGCCGCCGCCGGCAGCTTCGCGCCCGGGAGGTCGTCCTCGTCGTCCTCGTCTTCGTCCTGCGTCGTCGCTTCTGTGGACAGGTCCTCCGTTTCCGACGCCTGCCAGGAGCCGCGGCACTTGGCCCAGGCCTTCCTCCTGCGACTCGCCACTTGCCACTCCAGTTCCTCCTCCGCCTCCGCCGACGCCACCAGAGGCCGGTCCATGGCCGCACCGGGGGCTCCGCTGCCCCAGCCGGAGCCTGCGCGAGACACGGCGGCGGCGGGGACCCCCGCCCCTGCTGTCAGCGCCCAGCCGGGCTGGGGGCCCCGGGGAGCGGGAGCCGGCGCGGGAGGGGGCGGAGGAGGAGGAAAAGGAGGAGGAGGAGGGGACGGGAGGGAGGGAGGGAAGGAAGGGGAGGGAGGGGGCAGAGGGCCGGCGCTTCACATGAAGCCGGCGCGGCGCGGCGCGGGAGCGCGAGTGGCCCGAGCGAGCGCGGCGGAGAACGAGCGCCGGCCTGCCCCCGGGCCGCGCTCCCCGCCCCTAGGCCTCCGCCTCCCGCCTCCGCCCGACGCGCCAGGGGCCCGGCCGGCCGCGGCGCGTCTGCGCGCCCCTCCCTCGGCGGCGTCCCACGCCCCCTTCCGGCCGGGGGCGCGCGGGCGGAGCGTCGCTCGGCGCGCGCGGAGTGGGGCGCAGGGTCCCCCTCGCCTTGGCCTGCGGAGCGGGCGAGATTTGTTTGCTTGTTTGTTGGCGATCTTTGTTTCCTGTCAACTTCTCTCACAGAAAAACTGTGGAAAGGCCAAGTGCCTCTCTTCACCACGTCAAAACAAGTGTCGGCTTGGGCTCGCGGACTTACTGAAGTCCAAGGAGTTGAGGAGGAAGATGAAAGAAAGGCGCGTAATTGGTATTTGTCAAAATGTCAAAACTGGAGAAGACCAAACTTCGTGAAGTGCTACTTTTATGCTTAAGAAAGTTATATATCGTGGTTTTGTTATGTATGAAAATGAATTGAGAAAGAACGTTTAATCTGTAAATTCCACAATGAAGTTGGACATGGAGAAATGAAGGAAAATAGAGCAAGGAATGGCTAGGAAAGTATAGAAATATTTGCTTGGATTTTAGAGTTTACAGGATGCTACAAGAAACAAATGATGTCAAGGTTCAGAACTATTATAAAAATGCGTTTGGGCATCCCCCTCCCCCTTTTTAAATCTCATTTAGTACAAAGACTATAAAATCGTATTCAAAATCGCACACCAACTTCTGATGGTTTACCAATATCTACCAGATCATATCAAAAATACAGACTAACTTTCCAGAACCACCATTATATTCTGGGCCTATGTATATGTACTGTGAAAATAGAAGGGGTGCTGGGGTGCCTGGGTGGCTCAGTTGGTTAAGCGACTGCCTTCGGCTCAGGTCATGATCCTGGCGTCCCGGGATCGAGTCCCACGTCAGGCTTCCTGCTCGGCGGGGAGTCTGCTTCTCCCTCTCCTGCTCTCCCCTCTTGTGCTCTTTCTCTCTCTCACTCTCTCTCTCAAATAAATAAATAAAATCTTAAAAAAAAAGAAAATAGAAGGGGTGCTAGAACATTGATACTAGCCTCTCATTGGCTTGAAATTTCACTTTATTCTTTTTTTGAATCTTAAAAGACTTTTCAGTCTTCAAGAGTCCTATAGGAAACTGCAGCTAACAATTTAATGGTCCTTCAGAATAGGCTAGAGCCTAGTTCCCTGTAGGAAAGGTAAGAGAGAGAGAGGGAAGTAGCAGGAGAGGAGGCTCTGAAAGGGGTGGTCAAAAGCCACACAGAACAAAATATGCTGTCTTCACAGTTTCATTCTGGCCCTGACAGACCCCGCCCTACTCATCTGGGGCTCCTAGCTTCAACTCCATTTTCTCCACACGCTGTTGCTGTCTCTATGTCCTTGCATCTCCGTTTATTGCTGTTCTTTCTGTCCAATACCTTCATGTATTTCAAGATCCATCTGAGTCAGAACTTTTCCTCAACCACATCTTTCCACCACTTCTGGTCACATCTCTCCCACAATTCCCTGATACACAACTGAATGTCTAGGTCTCTTAGTTGAGACTGAATTGTGCAGTAAATAATATGACTGGCCTTTGAGGGTATGTTTGACTTCCCAGCCACACTGTAAACTGTGAGAGATTAAAGAACATTATTCTGTATTCTTCTTGTACCCCTTACACTTTTAGTACAGTGCTAATCCCACCAGGAACATGACTTCCGTTGAGGTAAATGTCCTGCTCTTTATGTTCTTCAGGATGGACAAATGGATAAAGTATTTGCTTTATGTTGTTTCTCTAAGGCCTATTTTTTTTTTTTTAAGATTTATTTTAGAGAGCACGCATGCCAGCCTGAGTGAGGGGAGGGTCAGAGGGAGAGTGAGAATCTTAAGCAGGCTCCGCCCCCAGCTCAAAATCCCTTGGGTCTGGATCTCACCACCCTGAGATCATGACCTGAGCCGAAATTAAGAGTCTGGCACTTATCTGACTGAGCCCCTCTAAGGGGTACCCCTCTAAGGCCTATTATTTATTATTTAGTTTTGTTGTTTAAATACTTTTAGACAACAAAGAATTTTTGGGAAAGGCAATGGTGAACCATATTTTATATTTAAAAACCAACCACCAGAGTCAAGCTATAAAGAAAGGGGGGGGGGGTGTGAATGCCAGCAGGTGGTAATATTAGAATAGAATACAGAAATTGTTGAATCTCCAATAGCACAATTGTATGTTTTCTTCTACATGATAATTTTTAATGCAAAATGTTAAGGGTACAGAAATAGTAGGGAAGGAAATCCTTGAAACAGCAAGCTATTTAGAAATATAAAGGGTTTTAATTGCATTCTCAACTTGGACATTTTTAAAAAATGTCCAAGTTGTTTTATTTATTTAGTAATGAAAGCCATATCACACATGAAGAGAGTCTAGTTATTTGCTTCTTCAAGGATTTCTTTCCCCAAAAAGTACTGTATTGTGGACCACACTGCAGAAGCTCTGCGTAAGGAATAATGTCTGATTCACCTATGCTTACAATGTAGAGGAACAAACAAATTTATATTAGATGTGGATAATTCCATCTAGCAAGTTGTAGTGGAAACAGTAGGGTCTTTGGTGTCAGACTGAAGTTTGAAATCTGTTTCTGTGTCTTTCTAGTTTTATGGCCTAAGGCAAGACAGCTATTATCTCGTCATCACATTCCTCATCTGTGAAATAGCAATCATGATAACAACCTTCCCAAACTGATGTGAGCATCACATGGAATCACATGGAAGTAGGTGCTCAGGATAGCTGCTGGAATTGTTATACTGCAGAAGGCAAAAATCAATTTTATAATAGGGAGATTGTTCTCATTACTGGTAAGTGACATCTATGTGCTTATGCAGATGAATTTTTTAAATGGCATAAATTCAGGCTAGGAAAGAAAACATACTCTGGTTAGACAGTTTTAAATGGAAAAGCTTAATCAGAAATGAAACATTATGCTCAGTTTAATTACTTTAGTTATTTTCTACTTTTCCAGACCTTAAATATGCCTCAAAATTACTAAACAAGATTTACTATTAAGTTAAGGCATTTTGTTCTAGTTATTGCATTGTTTGTCCAATAATATTTATGTAATCAAAATTTTATTTTATGCATCAAAATCTTAATAATACAGACTGATCAGAAAGTGGTAGCATTGCAGTTTACCACATTTTCACCCCTTGTTAAGACAAAAGGACGGTGGGAGGTATAAGTTAAGTAGAATTGCAAATTAAATAAATAGAGCAGCATTTTATATTTCAGTAAGATTGCCTGAGAAAAGAATTCTGTATGAAATAGTTTGGAAAATACTATATATTATGTCCCCATCTCTCCCACCCCAATCCAGTCACAATGAATGTAAGAGACTTGAGAAGTAAATTCTCAAGATTTATTGGGAAAAAAAAAAGAAGAAGAAAACTGGTTAACTTCATTTTACCCCATATTTCTAAAATTCATTTGAACATGAAATCTTTTGGGCCAGCTCAATATAGCTACTAACATTTACAGGGATACCAGTGGAATAATTTGCAACAGGATAAAAGAGGATGAAAGGAAAATATTATTCAACAAATGAATTCTTTGAAAACTTTTAAGGTTTATTTACAAACCATATAAATGAATAATGAAAGGTGGTTAGTCTGACTTAAGATTTTTTTCTGATACATTTCTTTAAGTCATTATTAATCATGAAAGTATTTTTAGTTGTGTATATTTTAAAGTAATAAAATTCATCTGTATAGTCTATAACTTGAACCTGTGACTTATTCTTAGGGTTTTTCCACATTAGCAAAAATTTGGGGAGTATTATACTAGTTCATTGTCCTCCTAAGTAAGCAATAATATAGCATAACAATCTGCTATTTTGATTTCCCTTATTTTCTCACGTATACATCAGAAGGAGAAGCAGGTGTTAATACCACTGGAACTTTGCCTTGCAGATTATGTACATAATCTGGGTAAATTTACATATTTTCTAATTTGTGCATGTTGAAGACTTGTCATTTTATCATCCATTTCACTGTCCTCAGATCACAAGTTCTTCAGTTTGCCACATAATGCTAAATTTACCCTCTCTATGGTAAAACCTTGTAGATAGCTTGTTTTCTTTTCAGTGGCTCAATTCTTTGGTGTTTCTGAGCAACAGGTAAGAATAGCTCATCTATTCTTCATCAACAATTGACTGAGGCAAGATTATGTAACAGAATAAGCTTTATTTGGTCTGTTTCATGAATTCATGAAAGTTTAGATCAGTCCTCTTTTCTTTTTCTTTTCAGTCCTGCCCTAAAATATTGTTTTTAAAGATCTCTGACATTTTGAATCATAAAAGCTTTTGAAGAGGTACATCTATCGATATTAAATACTCAGATATTAAACATTTTTATGTGGTACACAACAAAACAAGAGGATGTCATTATTGCATTTCCCAGTTTTAATACTGTCCTATTATATGATCAATGTATTGATAGACATTTTCTTCCTATTTTAATCTCTAGCTCATGTCACACATATTTCCTATTTGAAGCCATTTAGCCCTTTAAAAAGTTTTATAATGCATATATTTGAAATTATATACTTGTAAATCTTCCTACTTCATTTTATGAGAATCAAAAGAGGTTGGTGACTAGATGAACCATATCTAATACAGATGTATCTTTAAAAGCTTTAAATGGTACTGACCTCATAGACAGTTCTTTAACACACACATACACACACACAATGTCTTTTTTAAAAATAATTCTTATGTGTGCCTGAACCTGAATAAATATAAACTGCACTGCCTCTCCCACCACATTTCCCTTCTCTAATCTCCTTTCTGCAGCTCCTTCATGCCCATCTCAGAACAAACACAATCTGCATTCAGAACAGGACCATTTACAAGTTCAATGGAGTTATTTTGGGTGAGTCATTGAAAACACAGTACAAAACCTTTCCTCACTCACCAGAAATGCATTTTTAAAATAAAGCCAAAGTGAACAAGGCTTGGCAAGTTTGAGGGTGGACAAAATGGGGAGAGAGCGGGGTTTCTGCCAGACTCAGACAGGATTTTGCTAAACCATTTTTGTCTATTCCTTACATTTAACTCTACCAATTTTTCTTACCATCACTGACCAAAAAGTGTAAGATTGAGCAGGTGGGACATCAAAATAAGGACACTTCAATTCAACCACCACTGTGATACTGAGTAGAACCAGCAGATCCCTTATATCTTAGCATCAGTTAAGTCCCCCTTTTTGTCATTCTTTAATTCAGAAGCTATAAGATGTATCCACTGAATAATCTCTTTATGCTAATTAAATCAATTTTGACAAATTAATAACTTTAGGCATTTTTTAGAAAGTTGTATATAAATTTGGTATACAAGTCTTTAAAATTGCTTTTAAAATAAGAGAAGTTCCATGAGAGTTAATTAAACAATAAAATATTAAAGGAAATAGAGCTATAGAGACAGAAAATAATAAGCTAATTCCTAAAAAAATCTTTTGAAATTGAATTAATATAATGAAAGTCTATACAATGGCTTGATACATTTTAGACATTTAACAATCAGGTATTCAAGATTTATGAATCAGTGTAGATTCTTCTTTATCTATATAACATATTACTCACCCTTTATCCTGCAGAGAACTTTTTAGCAGAAATACAAGTAATTACTCTTCCACAACTTGGTACAAATCAGTTGAGGCTCACATCTCATGAATGAGGAGAAACCTAGAAAAAAATCAATAAAGGGAGATTCTTAAACATATAATGATAATTCAGAATTCCTTTGCTATAAAATTTGATAGGCCTTTCCAGGTTGACCCAGCAAGTTACTGTGTGGTAATTGACACAACCTGTAGGCGGCCCTACAGTTAGAATTGTTCACAAGGGGTCTGTCTGAAAGCTGCGGGGACAAGCCAGGTTCTACTAGATGGAACTATGCAAATGTTCTCCTTGAACTCCCTGCAAATTATCAGTTTCCACAAGTCAGGGTGACAATTATTGGTTAAATGGAATGAAAACTCTGTGAAAGTTAATCTGGCTATGAAAGCACTGGGGTCATAATAAACAAACACATATTTCCTGCTGTAGTTTAAGAGCATAGCCAAAAACTCTGGTTTCCCACATTTGGGGAATTTTTTCCTTTTCTTTTATGGTTAGGCAATTGTTTCTAAATTATAAAATAAGTACTTATACAGCCTTCAAAGCTTATCTCGACTATCTAAGAATGATTTTATCACATTTAGTTGTATTTAAATATAATCAACAAATGATCAAAAGTTAAAGGAACTAAATATCTATTGATGGGAACCCAAAACTAAGAACTTCCCCACAATCTTATTTCAAATCCAACAGAAAAATGAAACAAACCTCCATTAAAATTTCTCTGGAGCGGGCAAGAAAGGTAGCATAGTTGGCCTGGATTACATTAGCACTAAAGCAAACAGCTTAAAGTTCTGTTTATTAATAGACTGTTATTATATAAAAGAACTACAGGGTAAAGGTCAACACACAGGTTGTTTTGGTTAATTTTTAAAAAATCCCCTGAGCCTGTGTCTTTCCAATTTTTTTACTAGTCAGCCAAGTTGGCACCTTAAAACCTTTAACTACTGTAATTATTATAATAGTGCTGATATTCAATTTGGACAAGTGGTAGTAGAAGAACAATTATTTCAGGGGACCCAAGGAAATAACAATGTTGAAAATGGATACTTTTGATTGAGCACTTGCTTTGTGCCAGACACTGTTCTTAGGATTGGATTTACAGTATCTCATTTAATACAACTCTATAAGGACTTGTATTATTCTCACTTTATAGTTAGGGAAACTGAGCTTCAGAGAGGTTAATACTTGCCCCAGGCCATGGACTAATAAGTGGCAGAGTGGAACCAGGACTTTTCCCCTGCAAAGTCTACGCTCTCACCTAAGATGTGTGACTGTCTCCTAGTACTCCAGATCCACTGTTAGAGAAACATTAGTAATCACTCTCTTCGGACCGAGGAGATTCTTCACATATAGCTGATGGGCAGAGGGTCAGTGTGACTCAGAACTGGAAGGAATCCTAGGGAGCCAATTACCTACTACAACTCCCTCATTTTATAAAGGGAGGGAAACTAAGCTCAGAAACTTTAAGTAGCCTGCTCAAGGTTGGCTATCTAGTTAGTGACAGAATTAATTAGGGACAAGGATCCAGATCTCAAAGCCCTACAAACATTGATAAAGGCAAAGGTAGAAAAACTGCTTTTATCTTATCAAATGTTCTGAAGAACTTGGAGAATATAAAAACAAAGATTTTAGTATCTAGGCTTCTTAAGGGGATGTAATATTACAATTTATCAGTAAAGGTGATACCTCTGGCCCAAAATTTATAGCTGCACCTAGCCATCTTTCTGGAGAGGACTCAAGGTTGGGGACAGTGAGAATCTCTGCAAACTTGAGTATATCATTCAATTAATTTTTGAGTCCTTCTAGGATAACATCCTATATTCTGTTAGATACAAAAACCCAAGACTGTAGCATCCCTGGCCCAGCCACATTCTTGTACTCAGAGAACTTTCTCAGGGGGCATCATACTCTTGATCAAGAAGAGAGAATTGTTGCTTCTTAACCTAAAATCTGGTCTTCCAAGTAAGCCTTAATTGCCTAATAGGAGACCTGAAGTTTTAAGACTTCACCTTTCACCTAAAAACTATTTAAAATTCTATTTTAAAGAGAAACAATATTCAGAAAGTTTTTCTGAAGGGTAATATTCCGCCACTACTGTGACTAATATATATGTGAGTATTTCAATGTGTTAATATTTAGCCATTCTTTAAAGCAGACCAGCAAAGACCTGGGTGTCTCAATAGTACCAAATGATTTCCAAAAAGATGGTTTTTACAAAATCTCTCTGATTTGTAAAATGGCATCTGTCTATATTGATTCTCAATATGAGCAATGATGTGAAATGAGATGCGTTTTTTCTAATAAGGAGTCTTCCCAGAAGTTGTTAAGTACATCACCCTGTGTTCTCTTTAGGAGAAACTCAGAAGAAATATCTTTTTACAATATTTTTTCCAAGATGAGTTGAAATTACTGGGACATTTTATTCTAATCTCCTGGGCACCAGGACTTGGATAACTAACAAAGTTTCTGTTTTTAACATTGGTTACTAGAAAATTGAAAGCCAAATGTGTGGCTCACCCGGGTAGATGAGTAGGTCATCATGGTATGCATTCTAAACCTTATTCATAGCTCTACTTTGTCCCCACCCTTTTTTTCTTCTTCTTCTATTTTTTCTTTTCTCAAAATAATATTTTATAATTTTGTATATTCTTTTTCTGCACTATGACAAGGAAAAGCTAAATATATAAGAATAGTATGCAAAATTATGTTTACTATACAAATATATATATATCCATAGAAGAATATTAGGAGGGAAATAAAGCTGCTCCATTACAATGACAATATTATGGCTTTTTCTTTTATTTTCCAAACTTCTTGAAATTGCATTTACAATTTAGGGAGAAAAAGTTATTTGAACTTTGAAAACTCTAGCTATTTATTCCAGAGATAGAAGTATGGGAAATATTTGCAAACCCCCCCCCCCACAATGTACTTCAGTTTGATTATGTTAAAGCAAGTGAGGAACTGTCATAAAGTGAGGTTGGAATGGTAGGTGAGATCCAAATTTCAAAGGCCTTGGTGTGCTATCCTAAAATTGTGTTATTGCAAGTGGGAAGTTAGAGGCACCTTTCAGTTTTTAACTAAAGTGCTTTATTGAAAGATAACTAGTAACTATCTAGCTGAAAAAGTCAGACATGGGAAGTTGTTAGGCAAAGGAGCTAGTTAGGAGGCTTATTAGTATGGGGCTTGGGGATACAGAGGTTAAGACAGACTCAAGTTAGACTGGTAGGAATAGGGGCTGCAATCAGATTTGACAAATTGGAAATGGGTGGGAAGAAAGAAATGGAATGATCTTCAAGGTTTTTTCTACTTGTAGGTGCATGGATAGGTATTGGTGTTATTCAACATGATAGAGAATTTAGGAAAATTTGGGATTTGGCATTAATTTGTTTAGGAGTAAGAAGAACGAGAGAGAGGAAAGGAAATGAGTTCATTATAGGACATATTAGATATGAGGTACTTATAAATATTCTGATGGAAATGTAGCCCCAAGCATTCAAAAATACAGTACAGAGCTGAAACTCTGGATGAAAGTTTGGCTTAAATATTATTATAAGGTATGTGTGTGCTTGGACTCACTAACACTAGACAGCCATGTTTCTATTTCCCAAGTAAACTATTCCCAATATATCAAAGCAGTAGTCATCAATGACTTCTAAAATGCTAAATCCTCTGGATCCTTTTCAGCACTCTTTTTATAGTTATCTTTATAGCTTTTGCAGGACTGACTATTCCTCTCATTTCTTTCTTGATCTTATATTTTCCTCTTCTCCTACTTCTCAGTCCCCTTCACTGGTTTTCATTCTTTTACCAGCTTTATTGTTGTGTTCTTGAGAGTTTCCCTCTCTTAAGTGTACACAATCTCCCTGGCTGAGGTGGAGAAGACTGAGAGTGGAGAAGTTTGGGGAGAAACAAAAGTTTGTCAAATGTATTAAGTTTGAAAGCCTGTTAGACATCCAAGGGGATATGTTGTGCAGGCATTTAGATACGTGAATATAGAGTTCAAGGGAAAAATCTGGACTGGAATATAAATTTAAGAGTCATCAGCATATAAATAGTATCTACAGCTAAAAAACTAATTGGGGCCAGCAGGGGGGAATTGGTGGAAGAATGGTAAAAAGAGATGTCTGAGGATAGTGCTTGGAGTTTTCCACATTTTAAAGACAAATAAATGAGAAGAATCCAGCAAAAGAGGCTAAGAATGATCAGTTAGTGTAACCAGCAAAGTGGGAAGAGAACTAAGAGAAGTGGT